CTCCATAAAAATATCAATAAATCAAAAATGGAAATAATAATAATAATAATAATAATAATAATTAAATAAGGTCCTTTTTTATGTCACGTGACTCAGGATTTCGGTCAAATGAAAAAGAAAAAAGAATTCTTGTCTTTCATTATTGGAGTCGACATGCGAACCATTGCTCAATCAGTTTGTTGATCTTGACCGCTGACAGAAAAGCTATTTTTTTTTTCTCTGGTCAGGTGCCAAATCGAAATTCTTAGCTAATTTTACTTACTCTGCTCGACTTCAGATGGAGCCTTCATCTTGAGGCACGGATATTTGTTTAATTTCGCAAGCTATTGATCGCGTTCTCATCCTTAATATGATATTCGATGAAAATATCAGAAGCGGTAACCAAATGAGAGAAGACTTTGCTCGTACACATTAATAGCATGAGACTTTTCATTTAGAAAAAGGACAACTTCAAAAAGACAGTGGAAACTAGTCGAGAATTTTGGTAGCATCTTTAACACACACACACACACACATATATATATATATATATATATATATATATATATATATATATATATATATACCCAGCCGGGCTAAACCATAAATTTAACAATACAGATAGTACCAATATATGAATCAACAAATCAAAACCTACCAACATTTCTCACCCACACAAGACAGACATGCTTACGGAGGTGTGGAGGCCTCACACTTATACACACACCCACACGAATATACACACTTACATACATCATACTCACTCACTCCCTAATGAGCCAAATGATAACACACACCTACAGCAATACACACGCTTACACATATCATACTCACTCACTCCCTAAGAAGCAAATAACACACACAAACACTAAACAGAGACACATTCCCTCACCAGGTCCAATAAAACTGTCAAACTGACCAGAGAATTCAGAGCAGCATGTATATCCAGGTCTTATCTCAAATAACTTAAAAGAGACTGTTTGACCAACACAAGGATTGTTAAAAGATTCATGTTAAAAAGATAAAGAATTAAAAAAACAAATGAAAACTACAGACAAAAGTTCATTTTCTCCAGCAAAAAATACATTTCTGTAGTTTACTGCAACCAGCAAGCAGAAATATTTCTCCTCCCGATGATGGCCATTTTGGTCGAAACTAGTCGAGGAATCTAAATGAAATAATAATAAAAAAAAAAACGAAAGAATATTAATCTACAACCCAGTGTGTCTAACGATTTTAATTTTTTAATATTTTTTATTGTTCAAAAAAAAAAAAAAATATATATAGCTCTAGGCGGCTGTAGTTTATACTGTAACTATCTTTAGCAAACATTATTTACAATTTCTGGGAAAGAGCGTGTTATCTAGCCTTGTTCAAATAGTTGAACAAGAACAGTACGCTCAAACCCTCGGCTACGATGACTTGTGAATTCGTGATATCACAGCTAACGACGGAACCCAAAGGTTCCGTCTACCAAAATTGCTGTCACAATTCAACCCATGGTATGGTTTTTAAGTATTTTCCAAATATGCCGCACGCTAAGTCTCTTTCTTGACAAATCGACCATGGTGAGATTCGAACCCGGTCTTATGGTCAGAATGCGAACGTTCTAACGACGTGCCACACATACATATATATATATATATATATATATATATATATATATATATATATATATATATATATATATATATATATATATATATATATATATATATATATATATATATATATATATATATATATATATATCACCGATAGCACGTCTCAGAGTTTCATGCGCAACGCAATCTTCAGGTGCTAAGTATAGACTGGCTGTTATGTAATTTAAATTTTAATAAAAAATCGTAATGTTGACGTAGATATATATTATACTGGGATTACAGTTTTTTTTAAATATATTTGGTACTTAAAATAAATGGGATATATATATATATTAAGAGTTGTTTTTGTGGAGTACTGGAGCAACCCCGCAAGAAATAAATAGCACGCTCTCTTACTTAGAGCGTGAAAGTTGAGTATGTGTACCGCGGCTATGGTCAAATTGTAGTATCGGTTTCGTTGCCTTGACTGGGTATGTCCTGCTAAAACAAGTTTTGTGCCCGATCCCGCGTTAGTGGGGACTGGTTAAATTTGGACCAATGACCAGAGTGATCGCGTTCGGATTCCCCACGTTAAATAACCAACCTTGTGTCACAACCTAACCCAGTGGAGGGTCTCTGGTAAATACCGAAAGTGAAAGTTGAACAGAACTGATGTGAATTCCACGATTAATTATTATTACTTTTATTTCAGTAGACTGTGTTCTTGACTGTTAGTACCGTATTATTTTTCGACATTAATTACTACTTTTTTTTTTATAAGTGTATCGACTAACCCATTTCATGGTACAACATTTGGCGACGATGGATACAAACTTTAAAGCGGATACCAACATTTGACAAGGAAAAAAATTATATGTTAATACCAACATGTACCGAGGATTCGTGTGTAAACATTTATAGTCATATACAAAGAAATTATTTGGCGACTACTCAAGCTCGGATTAATTCCAAGTTGAACGTGTAAAAACAAGTCAGAATTTTGTCTGATTGTTCTGTTGAGTTTGTCTCTAAAGTAACATTTTAAAGAAGCAATTTTGGCATTCATGAAAATCCAGTAGAAACAAAACGAATGCTTGGAGGAACAACGTTTTGTCCAGGAATGGTTCGAAAAAAAACGTTCGAATTGTTAGGGTTTAAAAAAGGAAAAAGGGCAAGGCAATCAAATTTCTTTTTCTCGGGATTCGGTAATAAATTCAATTGTCGAATTTAAGTACAGTCCTGAGGAGGAGGTAACTTCTGCGGCGTATTTTCATTGTTATGAAGAGGTCTATCAGAAAGATTGCGTTACATGGTCGAAAGAAAAGAAAATACGTTTGTTGCTCGAAAAATTTGGTCCAAATGTACACGAAAAGTATGCAAATTACGTAACCGAGAAAACCTGGCAAGGTGTCTTTCTTAATTCTGGAAAAAAAATTGTGAGAAAAATTTCTTTTCAATACAAGATGGCAATGCTTAAACCTTATAAAAATGTGAGGAAGATTACTCGACTTTCTCTGGGATTATCAATAGAGAGTGTGAGAAGATTAAGCTGAAATAACTTACTCCTGATATGTATAAATCCTTGATTTTTGTACAAGGACTGACGGCTCCAGTGGATGACAAGATCGGAATGAGAATTTTGTCTAAACTCGAACAAAATAAAAAAAAAAACACTGTGCAAATGGTCACAGAAGAATGCGAACGAAGAGAAAATCTTCGACACGACACGGCAAAAATAGAGAAACGCAACGTGTCAAATATTCAGACTGTTAAGCAAGGAAATGTTGCCGGGATGATAAATCCTTGTTATGGCAGGTGGACAGATTCCTTATTACAAGAAATGTCCATTTAGACAACAACAAAAAAAAAAGAATGCTTTAATTGTGGCAAAATAGGACACAAGAATACGCATTTCAGAAAACTCAAAAGTAAAAAGGGGTCAAAAATGGAAAGATAGTTTCCTCAACTTCAAGGGAAAACAAAGAGATAAAACTCAGTTTGTGAATGTACAGATGAACATGAAAAAATGTTATATTTCAATTGGATACCGGTTTCTATATGGCATTGATAAATGAACAAACTTGGAAAAAAATTGGCAGACAAACTTTATTTATGACGAAAATAATTGCTCATGACATTACACGAAATAAACTAAATTTTGAAGGAGAATTTCACACAAATGTGACATTTATGAACAAAACTAAAATTAAAAGGACTCGTTATGAAATGAACACAGAACTTGTTCGTCATGGATTTGATTGAGTCATTTGACCGTCTCAACCAACCATTCGTTCTGCTTTAGTAGCAGTATTTATAGTGGGAAAATTAAAAAATGAATTAACGATAAAATATCCTGATTTTTGAGGGTCTTGGCAGGTGCGCCAGGGCTAAAGAGACATTCAATCTGAAAGATAATAATGTGACGCCTATATTTAGACCAGAAAGAAAAGGACCCTTTTCAGCGGAAACTTCCATTAATAAGAATTAGCGTGTTAAGTAAAATTGACAAAGGAAGCAAATTCTACAGTTTATGTGAAAAATAAAAATAAAATTAGTTTGTGCAGATTTTTCTACAGGATTGAACGATTGTTTGGAAGCATACAATTACCCTCTGCCGAGTCTGGAAAAATTTCACAAAATTGAATGATGGCAGTGTTTTCTAAACTGGATTTGTCTAAGGCGTTTCTCCAGATTCTTGTCGACGAAGAATGTACGAAGTAGTTAGCTATAAATAAGCATAAGAATTTGTATAGATTCAACAGACTACCATTCGGGATAAAAGTTGCAGCAGACATTTTCTAACAAACCATGGATATTTTATGGAATGACGTAGTCTACGCAATAGCCTACCTTGACGAGATCTTAATTAAGAGTGCAAGCCGAGAACAACATGGCGAAAATGTTAAAGAAGTTTTTGGAAGAATAAAACAATACGGCTTAAAACTTTTAGAAAAGTTTAGATGAATGTGAATCTTTTTATCTGACATTAAGTATCTGGGATGAGTTATCGATGCTAATGGCAGAAAACGAAACCCCATCGAGTACGATAAACATGGCGCCTCCAATATATGTGTCAACAGTACAAGCATTTTGGTGTCTAACAAATTATTACGGTAATTTTATCCCAAATAAGCACGTATTGAAAGCTCCTCTAAACGAATTGTTAAAAGCTTCCAAATAGTATCGAAGTACAGAATGTCAGTGCCTTTGAGGAAATTAAAATAATATTAACATCAGACTTAAATCTGGCGCATTACGATCCAAATAAGGATATTATTGTTGCAAGTGACGCTAGTAATTTGGGTTTAGGTGCTGTAATATTATACAAAGAAAGAAAAGGCCAAGTAAAAGCGATTGCACATGCGTCAAGGACCCTATTACGAAATTAAAAAGGATACAGCCAAATTGAAAAAGAGGCTTTTGGGATAATTCTTGCTG